ATATATATATATATATATATATATATATATATCCGTGTCCGGCTGTCTTTTCTCTCACCGCCTCCCCTGAATCTACCCCTGACTTTTTTCTTCTTTTGCTGCCAACAGACATTTCCCCCTCTCTTACCAGTCCTCAAGGTCTATCTTCTGTTTTCCAGGTCTCAGCAGCTCACTGTTTCTCATTTTCTGGAGCAGGGTCTACAGGTTTCCACCAAACAAAAGATCTCTCCCTGGGATCTTTTTGAAGGCTTGAAGCCATCAGCGCCACTCTCTTGGGGCTGGTTTGGAACAGTCCGGGTCGACCGGCGAGTAGCCCGAGGAGAGGAACAGCAGCGCTTGCTGCTCTACCACACACATCTGAGGCCCCGGCCCCGTGCCTATTACCTGGAACCACTGCCACTGCCACCGGAAGATGAGGAGCCCCCTGCTCCCACCCTGCTCGAGCCTGAGAAAAAGGCTCCAGAGCCCCCCAAAACTGACAAACCTGGGGCCGCTCCACCTAGTACCGAGGAACGCAAGAAGAAGTCCACCAAGGGCAAGAAACGCAGCCAGCCAGCCGCCAAGACAGAGGTTAGCACGGCCCCCCACTCTCCTGTTACGCTTCTTCCACAGCCCCCCTCTCTCCATGATTCTGTACAGTTTCTGATTCCTGGGGGCGGGAGTAGGGAGGTGGGGATGAGGTGCCATTGGAATTAAGAAGATTAGCCACATGGGTCTAGCTCCTCTTGACCCCGGATACCCCTTACCCCACCCCACCCCGCTGCGGTCCACTCACCCTCATCCTCTGCTGTTCACACAGGACTATGGAATGGGCCCAGGAAGGAGCGGCCCATATGGTGTGACAGTGCCTCCAGACCTCCTGCACCATGCGAACCCTGGATCCATATCCCACCTTAGCTACAGGCAGGGCTCCATAGGCCTGTACACCCAGAACCAGCCGCTGCCGGCAGGTGAGTGCCAGCCCCTAGGACGGAGGGTTACCCGAACGTTCCTCCTGCCTGAGGGAAGATGCCACATCTGTGAGGATCTGTGGATGACCTGGACACCGAGCAGGGGATGAAGGGGGATGAGGAGCCTAGAGAGGTCAGCCCACTCCCCTTTCCAGGTGGCCCTCGTGTGGACCCGTACCGCCCCGTGCGATTACCAATGCAGAAGCTGTCAACCCGACCACCTTACCCGGGAGTGATGCCCACGGCCATGACTGGAGTCATGGGACTAGAACCCTCCTCCTACAAGACATCTGTCTACCGACAGCAGCAGCCCGCGGTGCCCCAAGGACAGCGCCTTCGCCAACAGCTCCAGGCAAAGATAGTGAGAGGGGCAGTAGGGAGGGCCGTCAGGGAGAGGGGCTTTTGAGGGTCACGGGACTGAGGACACACATGGGATCTTCACAAGGACTTCCAGAGTGGGAGATAGGAGAAACGAGATGGCGGAAAGCATTTCTTGAGTTTGAGTTTGTCTCCTTTTTCCTTTTAGCAGAGTCAGGGGATGTTGGGACAATCATCTGTCCATCAGATGACTCCCAGCTCTTCCTACGGTTTGCAGACCTCCCAGGTGAGGGCACAGAGGGTGACAAGCCAGGGGCCTTAAGGCAGGCTGCTGTGCACACTCTTGGCCCTGACCCCCTCTGTCCTTCTCTGCAGGGCTATACTCCTTATGTTTCTCATGTGGGATTGCAGCAACACGCAGGCCCCGCAGGTACCATGGTGCCCCCCAGCTACTCCAGCCAGCCTTATCAGAGCACCCACCCTTCTACCAATCCTACTCTTGTAGATCCTACTCGCCACCTGCAACAGCGGCCCAGTGGCTATGTGCACCAGCAGGCCCCAACCTACGGACATGGGCTGACCTCCACTCAAAGGTACCCAGGGCAGTGGGGGCCATGGAGACACACTGAGATGACAGGGAGCATCTGAAATGGGAAAACCCATGCCAGGAGGTGACGGGACTAGTCAGAACATTCAGAAAGGCGAAGAACACTTACCTGGCCGCAAAATGCTGGAGCTGGAAGGGACCCTGCTGACCAATAGTCTCACATCCGCTTGTCTGATATTTCTTCAAGGCCCAGAGAGGGGAAATCATTCACACAACTATGATGAGGAAAGATCCTTGGTTCTTAGATGTACTGTGTGGTAAGGAGTCATCAAGCCAGTAGTAGAGCAGTTCCACACTGGAACAGGCTAGCCAACCAGCCCTCCTACCATGCTGAATGCTCCTCACGCCTTAGTTAAGACATGGGAATTATGTCTTGAGGCTTTGCAGCTTCGGATTTAGAATGCTGGGGAGTGGACTGGAGGAAAAGTGCTTTAATTTAGAAGTATCAATTGGGGCGCCTGGGTGGCTCAGTAGGTTAAGCATCTGACTTCAGCTCAGGTCATGATCTTACAGTTTGTGAGTTCGAGCCCCGTGTTGGGGTCTGTGCTGAAAGCTCAGAGCCTGGAGCCTGTTTCAGATTCTCTGTGTCCCTCCCTCTCTGCCCCTCCCCTGCTTGTCTTCTCTCTCTCTCTCTCTTTTTCAAAAATAAATAAATAAATATTTGATATGTGTCAGCTGCCCGCTGTGTGGCCAGTGTGGCCAGCACTGCTCTGGGATGGGGTAAGGTGAGTAGAGATTTTAGAAAATACAAAGTCCCTCACCACAGGGAATTTTTAGTCTAGCTGGGAAGATGAGACACGGAAAAACATTTAAAAAACACGATGAGGAGAGAGATAATCAGGTGCGCAGTCGTGTGCTGTGAAGTACATGGGAATTCAGAGAAGGTATGAGATCATGGCATCGTGGGCCTGAGTCATCAGAGAGTTTCACTAAGGGGGTTAGATCTGAGTTGGCCTTTTTTTGTTTTTTAGTTTATTTCTTTTTGAGAGAGAGAGCAGGGGAGGGGGAGAGAGAGGGGAAGAGAGAGAATCCCAAGCAGCGGGGCTCAAACTCACGAGCCATGAGATCACGACCTGAGCCAAAGTCAGATGCTGGACCGACTAAGCCACCCAAGCTCCCCTTGAGTTGGCTTTTGACGGATCGCTGTGATTTGTATTTGTTGAGTGGAGGATCGGGAAGTGGAGTCCAGGTAGAGGACATAGCATGAACAGAGACATAGGAACCAGAGTGAGGGGGGTGGCTGGGAGGATAGGAAGAAGAGCTCGGATAGAGTGTAAAATTCATGCTGGGGCAGTAGCAGGAGACAGGCCAGGGATGGGCAGGCTGGTATGGGGCCTTGGGTGCCCGATACAGACTTGAGACACAGTCCCACCAAGAGCTCTTTTGATCAGGAAAGCCATATGGTGTGTTGGTGTGTTGACAGATTAACATAGGATGCAGGGATAGGATGCATAGGGAAGGCGAAGGAAGACCAGAGACAAGGGGGCCCAGCTGGTAGGTAGCCTGTTGCAGTGATGTACATGGGAAGGCACGGGAACGGTAGAACTCATATCTTTCATAGTCTGGAACGTTATCGGTGGACCACCATCAACAGCAACAGAAACCACCTCAGTGGGTGTTTATAGAATGCCTATCTTGTGCTGAGGCTGGTTTTCGTTTCTGTAAGAGAAAAACAGCTAAAACAGGATTGGAAGATTCTTAACTGTGGAGGTTATGAGGCACTAAAATGGGGTGTTGTCTTTGCCCCTTATTCCCCAACCTCGAAATCTGTCCGAACCCAAGGGGTCCTTCTGGTTAGTGACAGGAGAAATGAATGAAATGACTTGTTGATGTTTCTTTCCGTTCAGGGACCCAGGACTTCTACTTCTACTCCTATGTCCCTACCCCCCTCCAGTGCCTTGACCTTTGGACCACTGGTCTTTGCAGGTTTTCACACCAGACCCTGCAGCAGACACCCATGATAGGTACCATGACACCGCTGGGCGCGCAGGGCGTCCAGGCCGGCGTCCGATCGGCTTCCATCCTGCCTGAGCAGCAACAGCAACAGCAGCAGCAGCAGCAGCAGCAGCAGCAGCAGCAGCAGCAACAGCAGCAGCAGCAACAGCAGCAGCAGCAGCAGTACCACATCCGGCAGCAGCAGCAGCAGCAGATCCTGCGGGTAAGACCCTGGGATGGCAGCTGGGCCCTAAGAGCCTCAGGAGGGGAAGAGGCCACAAGCGCCTCCAGGTCAAGCCCCTCCAGGTCATTCCTTCTGGTAGAGTGGCTGTGGCAAGCGGCAGGGGCCTAAGGAGTCGCTTTCCTCCCCTCCCCCTTCTGTTTTCCGGGGTTCCTGGTGGGAGAGATTTGGGAGTTGTCTGGTGGGAGGAGGGAGGGCAGTGGCCCCGGGTCCCCTCCCTGCTGCCGCTTCTGGGGCTCAGCTCCTTTGCTCCCCTTAGATGTATCTCTTGTCTTCACAGCAGCAGCAGCAACAGCAGCAGCAGCAGCAGCAGCAGCAGCAGCAGCAGCAGCAACAGCAGCAGCAACAGCAGCAACAGCAGCAGCAGCAGCAGGCGGCCCCTCCCCAGCCCCAGCCCCAGTCCCAGCCCCAGGTAGCTGCTGGACTACGACCCCTGGCTCAGGGACAGCTGCCCAGGTTGGGCACACAGCCAGTGAACTGGGATGGGAACAGTGTTCAGAGGGTTAGAGGTGGGAGACAAAGGCCTAGTGCTCCAAAAAGGGGGTCAGGAGATGGGGAAGGACACAAAAAGTTCAAGTTCAATCTTCCACTCCTCGTTTCCTCCTCAGTTCCAGCGCCAGGGGCTTCAGCAGACACAGCAACAGCAACAGACAGCAGCTTTGGTCAGGCAACTCCAACAACAGCTCTCCAGTAAGCCTGCTTTCCTCCCCGAAGAGAGCCCCCCCCCCAGGGGACTGAATGGGGGGGAGGGGAGGAGGGGGGAAGGAGGATGTGGGGAGGAGCCGAGCTGAATGCTTCAGGCCCAGGTTGTGGGGGGATGCATGGCGTCCCATCCCTTCCCTTGGTACCTGAGTAGCTTTCCTCGTGCATACCCACATCCCTGCTTGGTCTCCCACCCCTGATAATCTGATTTTTCACAGATACCCAGCCACAGCCCAGTACCAACATATTTGGACGCTACTGAGCCACCTGGAAGAACCGCTTGTGCACTGGATGTGGCCCCACCCTTTCCTCTCAATTCCCAATCCCCCTCTGGGGCTAGCACCAGTAGTGGTTGGGGCTCTTCCCTCAGGCTCCATTTTTAATAAGTTTTTAGTATTTTTGTTAACGTGAGGCATTGAGCTGTTGGGTTTTGTATATTATTTATATAGAGACCCCAGAGCTGTTGCACCCAATACACAGAGCTTCTTTGCAAAGGGAGTGTGTGAGTTCTGCATGTCCAGTAAGGGCGGGCTCTCGGGAGAGTGCTGGGACTGGACTAACCAGTCGGAGCCTCTGTTCCGTTCAGATCAAGTCCCCTGTTTGCCGTCTATCCCCTAAATTCCTTGATTCTAATTGGATTGCTACTCTCTCCTTCCTTCTCCAGCCTGGCAACATATTATATAGGTTTGGGCCCTGAGGTTTTTTTCTTTTCCTTTTTTTAATGTTTGTTTATTTTTGCGAGAGAACGCAAGCAGGGGAGGGGCAGAGAGAGGGGGAGATAGAGGCTCGGAAGCAGACTCCGTGTCAGTGTAGAGCCTGACTTGGGGGCTTGAACTCGGGAACTGCGAGATCATGACCTGAGCCTAAGTCAGATTCTTAATCATGCTTAACCAGCTGAGCCACCCAGGTGCCCCAAGGGCCCTTAGTTTCTTAAGAAGGGCAGCTTACCTTCTCAGTGAGGTGTTGCAGGTTCTCTATAGTTTCTCTCTATGAGAGATATACCACTGGGATGGGGGGAGGCCAGTGGGGGGTGTGTGTGTGGGGGTAGGAATTGGTGGAACCTGATTCTTCTTCCACCCATCCCACAAGCTTCAGGGTGGAAGGTGTGACAGACACTGCCTACACTTGTTGCCACCTTGTGCGCTCCCTGTTGGGCACCGAGCAGTATCCTAGACGGAGCACTTTCCTGAGAATTCCATTTCTGGGATGAAGACTTGCCCTCAGTTGGCAAGTGTCCCCATGGAATTGGTGGTTGAAGGTTGGTGTGGTTATAGGAGGAAGAGAGACCCAGTAACAGGAAGGACCCTTTCCTCTCTCTGCTCTGTTGCTGGAACTGTTTGTTTTTCCAGTGACCCACCTTGGCAGTTTCCCAGGGTGACTGTTGCTTACTCCCTTGTTACTGTAGAGAAAACCCAAAACTGTTGCTCCAGAGTCACATTTGGAACTGTGGCAGGGTCATTCTCAACCCCTTTGCCTTCAGGTTTGGGGCCCTAGATCTAAGGCTATTCAGGAGAGCCAAATGGCTTACTACAAAAGGGTCTTCTGGTGTGCGCAGCTGGGGCTGGAAGAGGACCAGCCTCAGCCTCGTGGATGGGTGGTACCAGATGATTTGACGACTTCAGGGTAACATCCAAGCCATAGTTGCACTGGATCACTGGGAAGTGTCAAGTGTGCTGGCAAAACCAGGAGCACCAATCAATACCCAAGCTCTAAAAAATAAAACAATAAAGCAAAATCCCACTTTGAGGTCCACAATGCCCTTGCTCACATGGCACTTACTGAGTTAAAGAGTTGTGCGCACAAGGAATGGAACTCCCCGGCACGGTCAAGGCAGACCTGGCCAGGGCTTTCTTCCAATCTATTCTATCGTGCCGTGAACATTCTGAGGAACTACAGGGTTAGGGGCTTAGCTGGGATAAGGGACACTCGGAGGGACTTGGGGTGCGGGGTGGGGGCTAAACAAACTGGACAGGTGCACTACGTATACAGAAACCCAACCTTGAGACCCAAAGAGCCGGATCTGGAGGGGAGAGACCCAGTGGTGGGACAAGTGGCAGGCTGCTGGTCTCTGTCTGACGTGCTCCAGCAGAAGCAGCAGGAAGGAACAACATTGACCTTTCAGAGAGTGACAGGATGAGAGCAAAGTGCCCCCACCCTCCGCTGGTTGCTGCTAGAGTTGCGCTGGTGCTGAGGAGGGAAGAGGCGACGGATGCTGAGCCAGGTGGAGGCTTGTCTTTTGTAGAGCACGACTGGGGGCTCCAGCAGACAGTGCCTCAGTTTCTCCCTTTGTCTCAAGGTTGCAGGTAAAGTTTGAGCTAGCTGCCCTGGATGATCACCTGTCTTGAAATGAGAGGTGTGCGTGTGAGAGGGAGAGAGGGTGAGCAGAGCGTGCTTGAGCAAAGGAGGAATCGGGCCATGCCCCAGGACTTGAGCCATCTCTGGCACAAAAGGAGTTAATGGCAGGGACCGCGCCCCCCCGTGTCCGGGCACGCGCAGCGCGCCCCCTCGGTGCGCGGGCACAGCAGCCAGGCTGCCGGAGAGCAGATCTCGGGGATTCAGGTGCGGAGCCCTTGGCCTGGAGGCGATATGGGTGGTCCGCGGCCCGGTTCAGTCGCCCGCAACAGCCCGGGGAACAGGTGAGGCCGCCTGCCCCGGTCTCTCATCCTCTAGCTGCCCATACCTTGACCCGATCCTATCCCCTCCCAATCCCGGGCTTCTCCACTCCCCAGCCAGTGTTCCCCATCCTTCTCAACCCCATGTTCTCCATCGGCACCCATGACCCTCCAATCCAACCCCCCTCCGCTTCTCTCCTCCACCTCCTCCTTGAATCCCGCATCCCTATCATCCTACCACCCGTGGTACCTCTATTTCCACAGCCTGGCCGCATGCTCCTCAAAATACCCCTACTAAGGGCCCCCAGCCCTATTCCTGTATTGCACATTGCCAGTCCCCCCTCCCCCGCAGTGCAGCCCCATCCCTCTTCCATCATAGCATCTCACAGCCAGGCTCCCTCCCCCACTCTCTGCAGCCCCCCTCCCCCCCAGGCCTTTATCCTATCCTCCCCCATTCCGATGCAGCTCTGTCCCCCAATACCATTCCCAAAACGCGTAGCCCCCAATACTGCAGTTCTCAATACCAGTCCATTCCTGCACAATGCCCCTCGCCCAATACTGCTCCAGCCCCAAAAGTACCCCAGATGCCACTCTAATCCCCAGCATTGCCTCCTCCCCTTATCTTCTCCCAAACTGCAAGTTGGGCCAGGATGGAGATCTTGGCCTTAGGGACTCAGAGCGGGTCCTAGGGTACAGAGGGCGTTTGGGGGTCGGTGGATTTGTCTAGGTGTTCGCGGGGGAGGGGCTGCAGGGAATTGACTCTAGGGGGACTGGCATTTGGCACTGAAGGGTTACTGGGGAAAGCATCCTGAAAGGGTTAATGGAATTTGTGGGGAGGGGCGGCACCGAGGAGGTTAATGGTGTGGGGGGGTTGCTGGCGGGGAAGCCGTGTGAATGAGCGGTCTGTGCCCCAGAGTTGCCATGGAGACGGTGAATGGGGGGATTGTGTGAACTCAGCTGCGGACTATTCCCCCCCCATACACACACACACACACACACACACACCCACTACCCCCTGCCCCACCTCCCTACTCCTACCCCTTCCTTCCCTTTCTCCTCCTCCCCCCAACCCGGGTGCATTCTGGGCAGTGTCTGGGATCTAACCCCCATACTTTGCTCCCCATTTCCTCTGAGCCTCCACCCCTTCAGTTGCTTTGCCCGCCCTCCCTCCTCCTCCTCCTCCTTCTTCCCTCCCTCTCTTTCTCCTTCTCTCTCTCTCTCTCTCTCTAGCTCGCTCTCTGTCTCCCTCCCTCTCCTTCCCTCTCCCTCCCTCTCCTTCCTTCTCCCTTCCGCTCTCTCTGTCTCTCTCTGTCTCTCTCTCTCTCTCTCTCTCTC